TACATCTCTATTATTTATTTATTTTTTGCGGTAAGGTCTCACTCTGTTGCCCAAAATGGAAGGCAGTGGCACAATCATGGCTCACTGCAGCCTTGATCTCTAACGCTCAAGCAATCCTTCCGCCTTAGCCTCCCAAGTGGCTGGGACTACAGGCTTAGGCCACCACACCCAGCTAATTTTTTATTTGTAGAGACAAGGTTTTGCTATATTGCCTAGGCTGCTATCAAACTCTTAGGCTCAAGTGATCCTCCTGCCTCAGCCTCCCAAAGTGTTGTGATTATAGATTGAGCTACAGTACCTGGCCCAAATCTTCTTTTCAAAAGAAACAGCAGGATGTGGTGGCTAATCCCTGTAATCCTAGCACTTTGGAAAGCTGAGGTGGGCAGGCAACATGGCAAAACCTCGTTTCTACAAAAAATACAAAAATTAGCCAGGCATGGTGGTGCACACCTACAGTCCCAGCTACTTTACTGGAATTAGAAGTTCTAGATTCCAGAACTAAAACTTACTAGGTAGGAGGGTCACTTGAACCTGGGAGGTCAAGCCTGTAGGAGCCTCAGGGGAAAAAAAAAGGCCATCTTTTACCAAAACATTCCAACCGACTGATGTTCCCCCCCCGCCCCCCAAGACAAGTTCTCACTCTGTCACCCAGGCTGGAGTGCAGTGGCATGGTCTTAGTTTACTGCAGCCTCAACCTCCCTGGGCTCAGGGGATCCTCCCACCTCAGCCTCCCAAGTAACTGAGACTACATGCACATGTCACCACGCCCAGTTAATTTTTTGTATTCCTTGTAGAAACAGGGTTTTGCCATGTTACCTAGGCTGCTCTCAAACTCCTGGGTTCAAGCAATCCACCTGCCTTGGCCTCCCGAAGTGCTGGGATTACAGGTATGAGCCACTGTATTCTATTTCTTAATTAGTAATCTTAATCTTACCTATTACTCTTTCTTAATCTGGCCTATTATTTGATTTCATTATGTCTAACTTATTTGTCTACCGAGCACACGAACAGAGATGGAACCAAACTTTCACAGCATAGATTCATATGTCATCATGATGTACACAGCAGGTTAATCCTGGCCAGACAGAAGAGAGAAGCACACTCACTCACTCACCCTCCCCACTTCTTCCAATTCCCTTCAGAGGTTTTTCTCACTTCTACTCACTTTACCAAAGGGCTCAAAGATGCCTCGGAGCATGTCTTCAGTGATATTGAAGTGCAGGGAACCCACATAGAGGCGCATTGGTCCACCAGTGCCCTTTTGCAGGTTGTTGGCCATGGCTGCCAGTCGGTTTTTCTCTGCCTGGGGAAGGAGGAAATGATGGGTCATGTCCCACATTCCCTCTCCCCTTAAAATCTTATGGCTGTTTCTCAGCCTGCTCACCTGTGAAGCCTGTACAATGATAGGCACTCCCAGCAACCGTTGCCCAGTTAGCCCAATGGCCAGTGGCACAGACTGGATTTCACAGAATTCCACATAGGCAATGCCCTTAGAACGGCGTGAGTTCCGATCTGAGATGATACGTACATCACGAACCTATCCAGGACACAAAAGAAATCCTGAGTTGGGCATAAAGGGAGCTAGAAAGAAAATAAGCTACTCAGAAGAAAACTAAGGCGGGAGGGTTACCTTGCCTACAGCAGAGAAAAAGTCCTCCAGGTCTCGAGGCCTAATGCGGGCAGCTAACTGCATACAGAAAACTGTACGGGCATCACGCTCCTCAGGACTCAGATTATCAATTGGCTCCCTAAAGATTGAAATGTGTTGAGACCAGCCCTCTCAGCACCTGGTCACTAGCTAACCCTTATGAACTACACATTCCTGTAAAATTATGAATAACATTTTATTCATAATTCACAATCCCTAAAAAAGTATTCATTATCAACTCACCTGACTGGGCTCTTCTCTCTGAAATGAGGACTCTTACTGTGTCCATACCTATGGCTAAAGAATAGAGAAAAACAAGAGGTGAAACCTTACTCTGATTAGTCCATTGCTGGGTCTTCCATGGTGGGAAAACCAGATCCCAGTACTTTTTTTTTTTGAGACAGGGTTTCCACTGTCACCCAGGCTGGAGTGTAGTGGTGCCATCTCAGGTCATTGCAGTCTCTGCCTCTGCAATCCTCTCACCTCATCCTCCTTATGCAGCTGGGATTATAGGCACACACATCCACATCTAGCTGACTTTTGCATTTTTTTGTAGAGGCAAGGTTTCACTATGTTGCCCTGGCTGGTCTCGAACTCCTGGGCCCAAGTGATCTTCGGGCCTCAGCCTTCCAAAGTGCTGGGATTACAGGCATGAGCCACCACACCCAACAGTACATTTTTAACACCAACCCTTTCTGTGCCTGAGTATCCTGTCAATCACAATGTGTTATAATAAGCTTCCTCAAACAGGGTTCAGAGTACATTTGTTGTTTTATCCAGATGACTATACAAAGGTGAATCTTATTCGCAAAAAGTGATACCCAGTGGCAAGTGGAGGACTCCTGTAGCGCACACGATCCTCACGACGATGGTCCCGACTTCGTGACTCACTACGTCGACGATCCCAGCTACGGCTACGGTGACGATGCTGCCGATCTCGACTTCGACTCTGACTGTTTCTCCGTCTATGCTGATCCCGGTCTCGACTACGACTACAGATGGCAACAACTCCAGTCATGCCCACATCATGTTTAGGCAACAACCAAGTGCATATACAACAGTGGTCTCATAAGATCCTAAGGGTGCTAAAAAAGTTCCTACAACCTAGTGATATTACAGACGCTATAATGTCGTAAAGCATACGTATTACTTATGTGTTTATGGTGATGCTGGTGTAAACAAGACTATTACCTATTGCACTCCCAGTTGTATAAAAGTATAGCACATCTGATTATGTACAAAGTGGATCTCATGAAGACAGAAAGTAGACTAGTGTTTACGGAAGATCAGGAAGGATAGGGAAATGAGGGGTGTGGGTGGAATAAAGAGAAGCAGATTAATGGGTATAAATATATGATTTAATAGAAAAAAGGGCTGGGCACAGTGGCTCATACCTGTAATCTCAACACTTTGAGAGGCCGAGGTGGATAGACCATGAGGTCAGGAGTTCGAGACCAACCTGGCCAATATGGTAAAACTCTGTCTCTACTAAAAATACAAAAATTAGCCAGGCGTGGTAGCACGTGCCTGTAGTCTCAGCTACTCGGGAGGCTCAGGCAGAACCACCACCTCCTGGGTTCATCGCTTGAACCCAGGAGGTGGAGGCTACAGTGAGCCAAGATTGTGCCACTGTACTCCTGCCTGGGGAACAGAGTAAGACTCTGCCTCAAAAAAAAAGAAAAAAAAAAAAAGACCCAGGGCTGGGCATGCTGGCTCACACCTGTAATCCCAGCACTGGGGTCGGCAGATCACCCGAGGTCAGGAGTTCAAGACCAGCATGACCAACATGGAAACTACTAAAAATACCTAATTAGCTGGGTGTGGCTGTGCATGCCTGTAATCCCAGCTACTTGGGAGGCTGAGGCAGGAGAGTAGCTTGAACCCAGGAGGCAGAAGTTGTAGTGAGCCGAGGTTGTGCCATTGCACCCCAGTCTGGGCAACAAGAGCTAAACTCCATCTCAAACAAAAACAGAAAAAAAGAAAATTAGCTGAGCGTGATGGTGCATACCTGTAGTCCTAGCTACTCGGGAAGCTGAGGCAGGAGAATCACTTGAACCCAGGAGGTGGAAATTGCAGTGAGCCAAGATTGCACCACTGTACTCCAGCCTGGGTGACAGAGCAAGACTCTGTCTCAAAAAAAAAAAAGAAAAAGAAAAGAAAAGAAAAAATAAGACCCAGTGTTCGACAGATCAGTAGGGTGACTACAGTGTAAAATAATCTATTATACATTTCAAAATAGCTAGTAGAAAATAATTTGAATGTTTCCTAGCATAATGAAAAGACAAATGTTGGTCCGGTCGTGGAGGTTCACGACTAATTCAAGCACTTTGGGAAGCCGAGGCAGGTGGATCACCTGAGGTCGGGAGTTCGAGACCAGCCTGACCAACATGGAGAAACCACGTCTCTATTAAAAATACAAAATTAGCTAGGCATGGTAGCGCATGCCTGTAATCCCAGCTACTTGGGAGGCTGAGGCAGGAGAATCGATTGAACCCAGGAAGCAGGAGGTTGTGGTGAGCCAAGATCGTGATCACGCCATTGCACTCTAGCCTCGGCAACAAGAGCGAAAACTCTATATTAAAAAAAAAAAAAGGCCGGGCGCGGTGGTCAAGCCTGTAATCCCAGCACTTTGGGAGGCCGAGGCGGGTGGATCACGAGGTCAAGAGATCGAGACCATCCTGGTCAACATGGTGAAACCCCGTCTCTACTAAAAATACAAAACATTAGCTGGGCATGGTGGCGCGTGCCTGTAGTCCCAGCAACTCAGGAGGCTGGGGCAGGAGAATTGCCTGAACCCGGGAGGCGGAGGTTGCGGTGAGCCGAGATCGCGCCATTGCACTCCAGCCTGGGTAACAAAAGCGAAACTCCGTCTCAAAAAAAAAAAAAAAAAAAAATTTAAGATGAAGGATATCCCAAATACACTGATTTGATCTTTACAAATTATATGTATTAAATTTTATACATACCAGGAACTACATACATCTATTATGCATCAATTAAAAATAAAACAATTATGTACAGTATATACTTTACAATAATGATGTTATTGATTAATGTATTTACTATACTTGTTATCAACATTCTAGAATGTATTACTTCCACTTATAAAAAAAAAAGTTAACTATAAAACAGCCTTAGGCAGATCCTTCCAGAGGTGCTCTAAAAGAAAGCATTGTTACGGCAGAGTACAACTCCATGCGTATTAATGCCCTTGAAGACCTTCCGATGGGACAAGATGTGGAGGTGAAGGACCCTCTGTAGGCCTAATCTCATGTGTCTTTGTGTCTTAGTTTTCAACAATAATGTTTAAAAAGTAAAAGACTAAAAAATTTTTTTAAATAGAAAAAAGCTTATAGAATTAAGGACATAAAGAAAATTTGTACAGCTGTACAATGTGTTTGTGTTTGCAGCTAAATGTTTTAACTTTTTTTTTTTTTTTTTGAGACAGGTTCTCAATCTGTTGCCCAGTCTGGAGTTTAGTGCTACAATCTCAGCTCACCGCAACCTCGAACTCCTGGGCTCAAGCAATCCTCCAGCCTCAGCTTCCCAAGTAGCTGGGAGTACAAATATGCACCACTGCACCTGGCTAGTTTTTTTATTTTTTGTAGAGACAGTATCTTGCTATGTTGCCCAGACTGGTTTTGAACTCTTGGCCTCAAGTGATCCTCCCACCTTGACTTCCAAAGTGCTAGGATTAAAGATGTGAGCCACAGTGCCTGGCCCAGAATTACTGACCTGCGCTTTCTATCCCTGCTTCTACTATGGCTCCGACTCCTCTTCTTCCTGAGAAAGAGAGTATATATATTTTTTTAAATTGTGAGACAGAGTCTCACTCTGTCAAGCAGTGGTGCAATCTCGGCTCACGGCAACCTCTGCCTCCCAGATTCAAGTGATCCTCATGCCTTGGCCTCCCAAGTAGCTGGGATTACAGGCATGTACCATCATGCCCAGCTAATTTTTTGTATTTTTAGTAGAGACAGGTGGCCAGGCTCATCTTGAACTCCTGGCCTCAAGTGATCCACCTGCCTCAGCCTCCCAAAGTGCTGGGATTATAAGCGTGAGCACCGCACCCAGTCAGGAATGTAAGTTCTTAAAGAGGTTTCATTATCACTGCCAAAGAGTAAGAATTACAGCAAGGCCAGAATGAAATATAAAGCATGAAAAGACCAAAGCTCAGAAGATGATCCAGCAGGTTCACAGCAATTACACAATACCAACTTATGGCCCTGAAAGCTGCCAGGCATCTGAAGAGGCCATTTTCCCCCCAAAGCCAAGCAAAACCTGGTGTTTCCAAATCAGGGGTCCTCTTGCCTTTTTTTGAGACAGAGGGGGTTTCAACATGTTAGTCAGGCTGGTTTTGAACTCCTGACCTCAGATGATCCACCCACTTTGGCCTCCCGAAGTGCTGGGATTACAGGCATTAGCCACCACACCCGGCCCCTCTTGTTGTTTTATTCAAATAAAGCATATCAATTCTAGGACTGATCCACAAATCTACGCTGGAAAGTGAAGACCAGATCATTACATCAAGTCACCATTATTCTCATGACCCAGTGGAGCCATTATTAAAAGTCAACAGTCTTAAGACTCCCTATTCTGGTTATTTCTCCCTATTTTGGTTATTTCTCCAATGGATACCACTGTTTCCCTTCCCCAAATTGCCAACCCATTTCTTCCACCCACACTCACTTGCTTGTCTCCCCGATGGTGCTGCTTCCACTGGTCCCATTGCCACTGTTGCTGGTGCTGCTGGTGGTATTGTTAGGATAATCCTTTTTGACTTCTTTCCTTTGTTGCTCATCCTGAGGCATTCACCAGGAAAATGTCACAAGGTATAAACAAGGTGGCAGACACACAGATTCCATTGGACAAAGGGAACAAAGGTGGACAAGGAAGAAATGAAAGTTCTTGATTATCTAGCCAGATTTTGAGCACCTCTATTTCCTAACAAAGGGAGTAACAGAGGAAACAAAAAAAACTACATAAAAGGAAGACATCAGCATGACAGATTCTGATGTCAAACTTTAGCTAACACCTGTTCCACTGACATTTCCCAGGAGAGTTACAAATTGGTGCTAGGCGGGGGCAGTGGTTCATGCCTATAATCCCAGTACTTTTAGAGGCTGAGGCTCGTGGATCAATTGAGGCCAGAAGTTTGAGACCAGCCTGGCCAACATGGCGAAACCCCATCTCTACTAAAAATATGAAAATTAGCCAGGCATGGTGGCACACGCCTGTAGTCCCAGCTACTTGGGAGGCTGAGGTAGGAGAATGATTTGAATCTGGGAGACAAAGGTTGCAGTTACTGGGATTGCACCACTGCACCCCACCATAGTGAGACTCCGTCTCAAAAAAAAAAAAAAAAGAGAAAGAAAAAGAAAGAAAGGAAAAGAAAAGAAGAAAAAGAAACAGGAGGAAGTGGGGGAGAGAGAGGGAAAAGAAAGTAAGCAAGTAAGAAAGTAAATTGGTGTTAGGTGGGCCAGGTGCAGTGGCTCATGCCTGTAATCCCAGCACTTTGGGAGGCCAAGGCAAGTAGCTTGCTTGAGCCCAGGAGTTCAAGACCAGCCTAGGCAACATAGCAAGACCCTGTCTCTATAAAAAATATATTAAAAAAGAAATTGGGCCAGGTGTGGTGGCTCACGTCTATAATTCCAGCACTTTGGGAAGCCGAAGCGGCAGATCACGAGCTCAGGAGATCAAGACCATCCTGGCCAACGTGGCGAAACCCCGTCTCTACTAAAAATACAAAAATTAGCTGGGTGTGGTGGTGCATGCCTGTAATCCCAGTTACTCGGGAGGCTGAGGTACAAGAATCGCTTGAATCCAGGAGGCAGAAGTTGCAGTGAGCCAGGACTGCGCCACTGCACTACGGCCTGGCAACAAATCAAAAAAAAAAAGAGATTGGTGCTAGGTCTGAGATTACAGTGACTTTCTACTCTGTCACTTCATTTTGAGCAAAGTACAGATTACTAATAACACATTATGTGCCCAACCCAACCTTGGTTTCTGAGACCCTCTTAAAAGTATGGCTCTTAACTATAGTCTCCAACAAAGTGTACTATGTCTTTTATGATTATTCTAAATAATAAACAAGCAAGGAAAGAGGATTCATAAAATGTTGAAAGTGATGATCCACAACTACTCTTTCTTATTAACCCAATTCCAGGAGTGAGGTGGAAAATATTACCTCTTCTTTTTTATAGGGAGCTTCCAGCATGGCCTCAATCACTATATCAAAGTCATCAGATGCCATTCGGTCAGGTCTGAGGAGAGGATATTAATATGTAAGAACCTGTTTTATATTTTTCCTCCCTTTCCAGCAGCACACATTTCCTTTCCCCTCCAAGAAACAGACTTCAGGTTATATAGATTTCAGTTCTGTTTCTTCAACTGCAAAGGGACCTTACCAGATGTCACTTACTCTAGGTTTATTTTTACGCTCTACAGATCTGAACTAGTTCTGCTTCGTGGCTTGGAATAGTCAAGGATAGGCCAGGCAAGGTGGCTCACACCTGTAATCCCAGCACTTTGGGAGGCCAAAAAAAAAAAAAAGAAATATAGGCCCATTATTTCCAATGAAAGGGTAAAGAGGTAAGACTAAAAATTAGAAGTCAAAGCAACACCAAAATGCAATTTGCCCTAAGGTCTTCCTCTCCACCCACCCCAAACACCAATAATTAGGGCTTTATCCCTAAGCATTTTCTATCCAATATCAACTATAGTTTAGGTAACTCAGAAACATGAAGATTAAGACAGGCTCGACCAATCACATTCTGAAATCTTTCTGTCTGACAGGCAAGGTAAAACTTGCCTCCCCCAAGCTTTCACATCTAGCAACTGCCTTTCCCCAGGCCGTCCACCACTAGTTTGTCAAATAGAAAAATAGAACATACCAAAGAAAACCAATAGGATAAATTATTCAAAAGTTATTGGTCTGAAATTATCAACCCATACAACATGGATGAATCTCAAAATAATTATGGAGAGTGAAAGAAACTAGCCCCACGCCCCGAAAGTACACAATGAACAATTCCATTTATATAAAATTCTAAAAAATGCAGACTAACCTATACGCACAGAAAGCAGATCAATGGTTGTTTAGGCATAGGAGTGAGGGGAAGGGCTGGGAAAAAAGAATTGTAAAAGGGCACAAGAAAAACTTTGGGGCCAGGAGTTGTGGTTCACACCTGCAATCCCAGCACTGTGGGAGGCTGAGACAGGTGGATCACCTGAGGTCAGGAGTTCAAGACCAACCTGACCAATATGGTGAAACCTCATCTTGACTAAAAATACAAAAAATTAGCCAGGCGTGGTGGCACATGCCTATAATCCCAGCTACTTGGGAGACTGAGACAAGAGAACTGCTTGAACCCCCAAGAAGGAGATGGCAGCGAGCTGAGATCATGCCACCGCACTCCAGCACTCCAGGCTGGGTGACAGACCAAGACTTCCTCTCAAAAAAAAAAAAAAAAAATTAGCCAGATGTGGTGGCAAGTGCCTGTAATCCCAGCTACTCGGGAGGCCTGCAAAGGCCAAGATCATGCCATTGCACTCCATCCTGGGTGACACAGCAAGACCCTGTCTCAAAAAAATAACAACAGGCCGGGTGCAGTGGCTCACACCTGTAATCCCAGCACTTTGGGAGGCTGAGGTGGGCAGATCACCTGAGTTCGGGAGTTCGAGACCAGCATGACCAACATGGAGAAACCCTGTTTCTACTAAAAATACAAAATTAGCTGGGTGTGGTGGCACATGTCTGTAATCCCAGCTACTCGGGAGGCTGAGGCAGGAGAATCACTTGAACCCAGGAGGCAGAGGTTGAGGTGAGCTGAGATGGTGACACTGCACACCAGCCTGGGCAACAAGAGCGCAACTCCGTCACAAAAAAAAAAAAAAAAAAAATCTTTGGGAGTGATGGTTTCATGGGTGTTTATCAAAACCCAACTAAGTGTACACATTAATGTGTACAGTTTTAGTATATGAGCTGCAGAAGCGAGCACAACGTATACAGTTTTATTGTGTGCTCATTAAATGTACCTCAATCATGGTGTTAAAAAAAAAAAAAAAGGCTGAGCACGGTGGCTCACGCCTATAATCCCAGCATTTTGGGAGCCTGAGGCGGGTGGATCACGAGGTCAAGAGATCGAGACCATCCTAGTCAACATGGTGAAACCCCGTCTCTACTAAAAATACAAAAAATTAGCTGGGCATGGTGGCGCGTGGCTAGTCCCAGCTACTCGGGAGGCTGAGGCAGAATTGCTTGAACCCAAGAGGCGGAGGTTTGTGGTGAGCCAAGATGGTGCCATGGCACTGCAGCCTGGGTAATAAGAGTGAAACTCTGTCTCAAAAAGAAAAAAAAGAAAAAAAAAAAAAAAACCAAGCTGGGTGCAGTGGCTCACACCCATAATCCCACCACTTTGGAGGCCAAGGCAGGCGGATGATCCAGGAGTTCGAGACCAGCCTGGCCAGCATGGTGAAACCCCGTCTCTATTAAAAATACAAAAAATTAGCCAACCATGGTGGTGTGTGCCTGTAATCCCACCTACTTAGGAGGCTGAGGCAAGAGAACTGCTTGAACCTGGGATGTGGAGGTTGCAGTGAGCCAAGATCTCACCATTGCATTCCAGCCTCGGCGAAAGAGCAAGACTCCGTCTCAAAACACACAAAACCCTGAGGAATTTCTATGCAAGGAGGCTATCATAATCAGACTTTTTCATAACTGTAAGAATTTTGTTGGCCAGGCACAGTGGCTCACACCTGTAATCCCAGCAGTTTGGGAGAGTGAGCCAAGTGGATTACCTGAGGTTAGGAGCTTGAGACCAGACTGACCAATATGGTGAAACCTTGTCTCTACTAAAAATACAAAAATTATCTGGGCAAGGTGGCAGGTGCCTATAGTCCCAGCTACTCAGGAGGCTGAGACAGGAGAATCACTTGAACCCGGTTGGTGGAGGCTGCAGTGGGCAGAGATCACACCACTGCACTCCAGCCTGGGTGGCAGGGTGAGACCCCGTCTCAAAAAAAAAAAAAAAAAAGAGCTTTGTCCTCTTTAAAGCAGATAATGCCCTGTGAAACAATGAAGCCCTGGTTGCCCTAAGAGTCCATATCCTATTTTGACAATTTAAAAAGTGTAATAATAACTACACCTATGATTTATATTACCTACAACTGCTAGGTACTGTGCTAAGTATGTTATAAAGAGATAAGATTCTTAGAGAAAAATTAATTGGAGCAAAATTTTAGGGTTAAAATGGAAATCAAACCAAAATCAAATAAATCAGTATACATAAAAACCAGTGAACTCAATTTCTTTTTTTGAACTCAATTTCTGTCACCTAGGCTGGAGTGCATTGGCACAATCTGAGCTTACTGCAACTTCTCCTCCCAGGTTCAAGTGATTCTCTTGCCTCAGCTTCCCAAGTAGCTGGGATTACAGGTGCCCACCACCATGACCAGCTGATTTTTATATTTTTAGTAGAGATGGAGTTTCACCATGTTGGCCAGACTGGTCTCAAACTTCTGACCTCAGGTGATCCACCCACCTTGGCCTCGCAAAGTGCTAGAATTACAGGCATGATCTACTGTGCCAGACTTCAATTTATTATAACAACACTTTATATTTATTTCGCAATCGAAGATAACAAATGCTGCTGCAGAAAGATAATATGATTCATACACAAATTTTTTAAAACTAAGGTTTTTTGAACTGCTCAAAATCATACACAGCTCAAGTGCTGGGCAGAGCGGATGGCCCATGTCTGCAATCCCACCACTTCGGGAGGTTAAGGCTGAAGAATGGCTTGAGGCCAGGAGGTCTAAATAAACAACATAGTGAGGCCTCATTTTAAAAAAGTACAAAAATTAACTGGGCATGGTGGTGGGTGCCTGTAGTCCCAAAGACTTGGGAGCCTAAAATGGAAGGACTGCTTGAACCCAGGAGGTTGAGGCTACAGTGAACTGTGATCATGCCACCGCAATCCAGCAAAATTTCAAAAAGAGAAAAGGTCACACAGCTTAAATCGAGGCACTAATTTTTTATTTTTATTTTGAGACAGGGTTTCACTCTGTTGTCCAGGCTGGAGTATAGTGCTGCAAATCTCGGCTAACTGCAACCTCTGCCTCTCTAGGTCAAGCAAGTCTCCTATCTCAGCTTCCCGAGGAGCTGGGACCATAGGTGTGCACTACCATGCCCGGCTAACTTTTCACATTTTTGGGTTGTTCTGTAGAGACACAGTCTCACCATGTTGCCCAGGTTGGTCTCGAATTCCTGGACTCAAGAGATCCAACCACCTTAGCCTCCCAAAGTGGTGGGATTACAGGTGTGAACCACCACATCTGGCCAGAGAAGCTAATTCTTGTTCAGAAAGGTTTTCTGACTCCACATCTAACGTTATATCCATTATATCAGGTTGCTTCTCATACGGTAACTAACTTTAAAGGAAAAAAAAAAGTACACCGTATACCAATATATCTACTTTTAAATATATACTCACTGAACATGAATGTTCTTCTGATAGGTTTATCAAAACAATCAGTTCCATTAGCCAAACCTCACTGTTAGTCTTCCATATCTTTGGCATGTACAGTGTATACTTAAAAGTATTAGAAACCAGACTAATATATACTATCTAATTCACTGTGGGAAAATGGTTCAAAAAAGAAAAGTTTTTCATACGCAGCTGTTTCTTTCAGTCATTTTGTCTGCCAAGTCTATACAAATTTTCTGTTATAAACTGTTTTTTACAATCTGCCTTTTCCCCACCAAATGAAATGCTTGATTTCCAGAATTGCTCATTGTTGAGTGCTAATGCAGGGTAGGGACAACTTAACACACACACTAAAACTTTCACTTAAGTTTACAAGCCTCTACAAATGAACTTCTTTGTACGAAGTTTTCACTCAGAAACAAATGAATCTATTTAAGTACAGACATATACAACACAACACACTATTTTAAAACTTGCAATTTCACTGGGTTTGGTGTCTTTCTAAATGTCCTAAAAGCAATAAGGTGGCAAACACTATGTATTTTCAGGCTGGTAGTTTTCTTACTCTCTTCATGTCCCAACCTAGGGTTAAGGTCTACTCAGTCTCATCCATATACGAAATATAGTGTCTTCTTCCATCCTGCTCCAAAAACATCATTAGAAACCCACAATCACGTCAGTTCCAAGACCAGGACATAGCACATGCCAGCATACAGACCCCATTGCTAAAGAGGGCAAAGAGAACCACTGTCAGCCCAGTTCGGGAAGAATTCACCAAAAGCTGCAGCCCCAAGGGGTGATGGCAGCGCCATCTCCTGGGTCTGATCACTTAGCTGGGCACAAACACCTCCAAACTGAAGGCAGCTTAATAAAGAAGAGGAACAACGAGAAAGACAAAAACATTACTTGAAGGACTACCCTCCCCATGTTGTGGAGCTTTAAAAAATGGTCATATAGGCAACCAACTGGCACAATCTCTGCGGGAACTAGTGTCCCAGAGCTCAATCTTCCTATGTGGCCTCATGATATGCCTAGGAACGACTGCTTGAAAAAGTTAAAAGGGAAAACCTGTAAAAGTCAATACAGCGATCGCGAGTCTTCGAGACTACAGATTGAGGCAGAAAGCTCAATTCCCCTCTCTCTCCCTCTCTCTGAAGAGTGGTACGAGTAGCTGAAAACTGATGATACGTGTGGTCTCAGGCCAGGAGGGTCGATGTTCCCTCTCCAGTGTGGGCAACCCTAAGTGTCACGGCTGCAAGGACCCGGAAAGAAAAATCACAGGATCCTAGAAACCGCATCTTTATCGGTACAGGATACAGCCACGAGGGTACCCACCTCTAAAGTCGTGCCAAAGGGCTACATTTTACGTAGCTAACACTTCCAAGTCAAAACAAGCCTAAATCTGTTCATGACGCCATTTTCTGCCCGTGACGTCGGAGGAGGCGCCGTGCAACTACGTCACGCATTAGTGACGTCTAGTGGGGGAACCGGGTTTCGGGGTTTCTCACCAGTTCCGGGTCCCCGCAGGGATGTCCCGGTTCTCTCCGTTCCTTTGGGTATGTTGCGGGGAGGGAGGCTCGGATATTTCTTAGAGTCTAGGTAAGAAAAGCAGCAGGGCAGATAGAGCTGCTACTCTTCCCGCAAAATGGCAGCAGCTCCACCGTCTTCCAGAACCTTCCCCAATCTGCGCATGCGCCAAAACACTCCGGCGTTGGCAGTAACCTCACCGGTTTCGCGGCAACCGTCCAAAGTACAGGTTCTCATTGGCTAAAGCCCTAAGTACGGGTGGAGCAAACTCAAATGCGTCTTAGCAACCACCGAATTCCCGTTGATTGGCTAACCTCAGACTTTAGAAAAGGGAAGCGTCCTTTGGTAGAAGCCCATCACTCTCTCATTGGTTAAATGACTTGCGGAGGGCGGGGAAAACGGGACGGAGAACGAGAGTGAAGAAGCCACCGACCCCACTCCCGGCGCTAGTGTAGACTAGACCAATGCGATGGGCGGAGCCAACGAAGATGGACAATTGACATCCTTGACTACCCCTTCTCTCATTTGCCGAAGGAGTCACGTCGGTCTTCCCGGTTAAACTTTGTAGAGAATAGCGGCATTTGCCTCACGTCCAGATCCTAAACTCCACATCCCCGTTCTGAGCCGGCTACCTACAGAACCCTCCCGACCACCTCTCCTGAACTCGGTGCTTGGGACCTAGGAAAAGCAGGTCTTGCCACAGACTTGTCTTTGTCCACACTCTGCCCTATCAAGGCCTGGTCCCACAGGTCACAACTTCCGTTCAAATCAGTGCCCCTTCCCCCGCCCCCCCGTTTCCCACTGCAAGGGTAAATTTGAAAGTTTTTTAGGCGATTCCTTAGATGTAGCAGTACTCCGAGCTCTCTAACTGGAAAGAAGGAACTGATGTCCACCCTCACTTTCCAAGGTCCTCTAGAAGCCCCTAGACACTTCAATGGTCTACTGTAGCTACCAAAAATGTAGCTGGTTGTAACATGGGGAGAGCCAGAGTCCGAGGACCTGATTTCCAATTCTGACTTTGCTAACATCACATCACTGTACCCATTTCAAATTCTCCCTCTGTAAAATGGCAAATTGGACTAGATGACCTCTTAGGATTTCAAACTGTAACTGTGGTTTTATTAAAAAAAAAAAAAAAAAAAAAAAAAAAAAAAAAAAAAAAAAAAAAAAAAAAAAAGGTAGACTCTTGCTGGAGATTCCTGGATGGATCCCAGTCTTCCCAAGAGGTAACAAAGGAGAGGTAACTAGTTGCCAGTGCAGTAGCTCAAGAATACAGAAGAGAAGCTGGCTTCATTCCCTATTCCATCTTTCTCCAAGGTGGCAAACTCTATGCCTCCTCCCCAGAGAAAAGCCTAACCACAGGTTCTAATGGACAAGAGCTCACTGTAGCTAGTCAGAAAGGCCTATATTCAGGAGTCCAAGAGTAATTGCTCAGTTTCCTAAGTAGAGAATACGGCTAGTCCCCTTTGGGTCTTGGATAGGTTAAGAGCACAGATCTGAACATGCCTGGGCCTAAGTGAGGTGTGGGAAAATAGCAGCAGGGGGCAGCAGGGTAGTGCAGGAAAGGGCTATAACTTTATTTCTATTTCCTCTTACACAAAACCATCAAAACAAGAACAGAGAAGGGCTGAAATTCTGTTCAAATCCCATGTTCTCAGGGATATTCCAGGGAGTTCTCGAGGCTGTGCGTAGCTTCAAATCCAACACTAATTCCTCACCCCCTGGCCTGAGGTCTTCAGATTGGTGGCTTGGGCCCTGCAATTAATTATAATTCCTTGCCCACCTTGATGTAAGGCAGGAAAGCAGATTGACACGCTTCTCTCTGATGGGCAAGGGGAATTACAGCCCATAGATGTACTGCACCTTCTGTGCTACAGGAGCAGAACCTGAAGTTGCTTCCAAGGCTCTAGACACTTGTACGCAGGGCTAGAGGCCAATGGTATATGAGCGGCCTGTGGGGTTGTGAATAGCAGAACAAACTGGTGCTGTCACAGCCCACTCATACCACACCTTCTTGGAATTGCTGCATCGCCAGAAACGCACACAGATGGTCTGGCCTTCACGCACCGTTATAGGCTGCTGTAAGAAGAAAGACAGGGAGGGTCAGGGTGGAGCTAATAAATATGTGGCAATGTATTAAGGTAGGTGTGAAGATAAAATGATAAACATGACAGATTGTCCCAACCCTCATGAAAGTTATTTGAAGTTTATTAGAATACTGAACAATAAGACACTGAACAAATAATCAAAAGCGTGGTGAGTGCTGGAACACATACAGAGTGCTAGAAAAACACCTATGAAAGGGAACACTAACCTAGTCTAGGAGGTCAGAGAAAGTTTATCTGACAATAGAAATGTTTAAAGGAGACCTAGAAGATAGTTAATTGTGTGAAGAGACAAGCAAAGAACTTTACAGGCAAAAGAAAGGCATGAAAGCCTGAGGTAGAAAAGAAGATCAACTATTAGAAGAACCAAAAAGAAGGTCCATAAGGCTGAAGCAGTGTAAGCAAGGGGACAGTAGCTGCAAAGGCAGGCAAATAGTAGATCACATCAAGTCTTACAAGCAATGTTCCGGATTTTTACTTTTATCCTAAAGACAATGGGAAGATAATGAAGGGTTTTAAGCAAAAAAGAGAGTTACGATCAAATTTGAGTTTTTAAAAGATGACTCTTGCTCAAAGTAAAGAAGAGACAGAAGAGTAGCCAGAGTAGATGTGGAGAAGCCAGGCAGAATGCCACTCCAAATAATTCCAACAACTATCACTGGGATCCAAGAGCATATGAAATCAGAAAAACATGAGTCATAGTCAACTATCTTCCTAGGAGAAGGAAAGAAGCACAACACCACAGGCAAAAGTTACTCCTTAACCTACAGAGTCTTAAAAGCAATTCCTACCTTAATAGGGAAGAGGATGGGAAACCATGAAAACATCCCAGGAGAGTGAGTCTCTGGACGGATACCTGTGTGGACAAAATAATGAAAAAATAGAGGTCTCTATGGCTGTGCCTTTTGCCTATGTTGAAGGGGGTCTCTCCTCTGATCACACAAACATCTCCATTCACTGAGTACTGGGCTCCCCATAAATCTAAATGACACATGTACATTTAGGCTGCCCAGGCGGCGCACCCTCATACTCTGCCATCCACTGCCAAAGACACTCACTCAGAGTGATGTCCTGATAAAGCACAGTCTCAAAGTAGCCTGCAAAGCCATGCAGTACTGTGTTCACCTCCACAGGAAACTCCAAGGTACAATAGCGGTTGTTGTCAATCATAGGATCTGTCAGGAAAGAATTATGTTGCTGACGCTCTAGACAACTTGGTAAAGCATGAACAAGACCCAAGAAGGAAGCATAGATAAGGCAAACTAAGGACAGCAAGGGAAGAAAGGAGGAAGGAAGAAGCCCACATGCCTCCAGTCAGAGGACAGCCATAAAAGAACCTACCTCTGTTGGGATGGCTGAAGGTGAAACAGGGCTGGGGTGCAGACAGCTGGTGAAAGTTGTGCAGCCGTACCACATAAGGCATCTCAAACTGTGCCTGTCAGAGAGAAAGAGAGAGAGATAGAGAGAGATAGAGTGTGTGTTGGGGAAGACAGACAAAAGATACCTTCTTCCCCAAGGATTAAAAAAACTTTTACTTCAGCACTTCCCTGATCCCTAACTTCCCCTTTGCCTTTTCATCCCCAGGAGAGGAAAACAATTGATGCAAATACAGAAAAATAAGAGGACTAAAGAGTACCACTCTTTCCAGAGAGAGTGGTTCTTTACCTCAGGGTCACGGTCCTTCTCCCTACAGGCTCGGACCTCATTGTACAGTTTGGAGGAGGAGATGGGAGCCAGGAAGGAAGTGTACTCCCCAGGGATGCTCACACCGTCATCTGCATAGCAGGAAACTCAAATTAGTTCCAGAGGGAGGGAAATGGTATGTCTCTACTAACTGAAGGATCAAACCTCCCATGTCAAACTGACCAACGTTGGCATGGGCATGGAAGAAAGGCAAATGCATGTTGTCATGTTACTAAGCCAGCCGGCTTCCAACTACTGGCAGGAAGGATTCTACTTTTAGGTTAATTTACAGAGTCACAGATTAAAACTGAAAGAACCCAAGAGTCTAAACTGGTGGTCCTTAACTTTTGTGGGGTCACAAAATCCCACAGAAGTTCCTGATGAAAGCTAAGCTCAGGATGTATACGTCAGCTCAAGGAGTCCACTCCCCTCATTTTTTTTTTTTTGAGACAGAGTCTCGCTCTGTTGCCCAGGCTGGAGTGCAGTGGCACTATCTCGGCTCACTGCAACCTTCTCCTCCAGGGTGCAAGTGATTCTTGTGCCTCAACCTCCCAAGTAGCTGGGATTACAGGCACATACCACCACACCTGGCTAATTTTTTTATTTTTAGTAGAGACAGGGTTTTGCCATGTTGCCCAAGCTGGTCTTGAACTCCTGACCTCAAGTGATCCACCCACCTTGACTTCCCAAAGTGCCAGGATTACAGGTGTGTGCCACCATGCCCGGACCACTCCCCTCATTTTACAAATATGAACACTAAGGTTTGGAGAGATGGCTTCATTTGCTAAGGGCAGAGGCAGTGGAGCAGTAGCTCTCAAAACTCATATGATCTGACCCAGGTCCAACCCACTTTCCCCTAAACCCTCTACCCTCCTCCCATGTTGCTGCCTCACCCATCATCACCCTCCACATATACCCCAAACTGGGGGCACCTTTTAGGAAGTGCTGGGCTCCATCCAGGCATTCAGGTGACAACTCATTGTCAGCAAATGAGCCCAGAAGTTCACTGACAATGATGTCTGCTTTCTCTGGAGCCACCCATTCCCTCATGTCTGATGAGACTACAGTCACCTGGCTTCCCCATTCTTCAAACTGCCAGTTCTCTAGCCTGAAACAAAGATAATAAGGTGAGGAGAGATGTTAAGGAAACTTGGCAATGGGGACTAGCTTCCCAGCAAGCAGGTTGCTACTCACGTCACCACGGCATTTGGGTTTTTCTCCACAGCGTACAGCTTTATCCGCCGGTCAGCCTGCTTGGCTGCCCGCAGGGAAGCGTTCACCAGGGGACCCCGTCCTGCTCCCAGCACCATCAATACCCTAAGAAAGAAAGGGGAAGAGTCAAACAGACTTGACATACACAGATGTAGGTACGCAAGTCCCT